CAAAACAGCTAAAAAAATGAGAATTTCYCTCCTGCTAGCAGCACAGAAATGTGGAGGGGATGTTCCAAACAAGCCAGGAAAGGGGGGAACAAGAAGGAAATGCTTTTCCTTTTTTCTCTGCTCTCCCAAAATACCCCTTCCCCAACAACCTTGCRTTGCATCACCATCATTTGGGACTGTTCACGAGGGCCTGGAGTGCCAGAATAATGGGGAATGGTTTCACATTGGTATAGGTTAGATGGGATATTGGGAAATATTCCTGGCTGGGAGGGTGGGGAGGCCCAGAGAAGCTGTGGGTGCCCCTGGATCCCTGGCAGTGCCCAAGGCCAGGTTGGACATTGGGGTTTGGAGCACCTGGGACAGTGGAAGGTGCCCCATGGCAGGGGTGGAATGTGATGGTCTTCAAGGTCCTCCCATCCCAAACCATTCTGGGATTCTGTGACAGATTTTGGAGAAGATCCCCATTCCCTGTGTCCCTCCAGCCCCTGTGGAAATCCTCCCCATTTTTAAGAACTCTTTAAGAGAGTTCTTAAATGCCCTCCCTCATCTCCAAGGAGCATCTCCTCCCTCTCCTCTCTGGCAGCCRCATTCCCAGATGGAATTACAGACGTAAAAACCTGCCCAGAGCTCTCCTGCTCCAGCAGGTTTCCGGTGTGGGAATCAAAAACTCATTAAGGGCTGGCACAGAGAATGAAATGAGACTTTGTCATTTTGCATTTGAGCCGAGCGGACGCCGAGGGAGCGGACGAGAGGCAAATTAATTTGCTTTTTGCAAAGGCTCCTGCGTGCTGTTAAGGAAAGTGGTGTTTTGTGCAGGCTGATGGCTCAGGATGCAGATTTTCACATTTCTCCGTGTCCTCACAGAGCTCTCAAGAAGCCCCTTTTTTCTTCTGAAACAGGAAAATGAGGTTTTATTTTATTCCAGGGTTTGGGGCGATCCCTGGCCAGCAGCTCAGGATRAATCCTGGCAAAGATACTCAGCTTTCAGGGGTTCCTCTCCTTGCACGCAGCAATTTCTCTTTTATTCTGGCATTAAATTTGGTCCAGATCATTTCCCCTGAGCCCCCTTGCCAGGATTGCWGCCCTGATGGGTGGCAGAGATACTCTCCCGCAGCAAAAAGCAGATCCAAACGCCGGGARCTTCTCTGCCAGCCCCTCATTTCCTGATGAGGAGCCAGAAACATCCCAAAAAAACCCAAGCAGCTGCTAATTAGTGGTCAGCAGCCGAGCTGGGGGCTGGCAGCAGCGAATCCTTGGATTCTGAGAGAATTCTGCCTCGGGGTTGTGCCACGGATCCTCTTCCCACCCTGTCACATTCCCTGTTCTGCAGGATGTCACGCCTTTGCCATTTCCAACATTTTTCCCATTTTTTAAATTTTTTTCTTCCTTATTTTTGCACCTTTCCCTCTGGCTCAGAGGAGAATTAAGCAACTGCTCCTGAAATTCCAGCCTGAGCAAGCAGGTCGGGATGAATATTCATCATGCAGATGAACAAAGCTCAGGGACTCATGGCTCTTCCCGAAGATTTTGGTTCCTTTTCCAGCCCAGACACGATGGGAACACCAAACCTGAGCTCAGAACGAGCCCAGAATCAGGGAATAATGTGGGATTGGTGAATAATGGAATAATATAATAATGATGATAATATAATAATGGAATAATGGGTGAAGAGTGGAATAATGTGGGGATGGGTGACATTGTGACATTCCATCGGGSTGGGGCACCATCCCAAAAATTCCACGGCCCCTCCAAAACCCCAAAAAACCCTCTTGAGCAACAGCAGCCCCTGCCTGACATCTGCCCACACGCATTTGGGAGGCCACGGAGCTTCCTGTGGGTTTTGGCTGCYGGACAGCAGTGACCTCAATGGTGCCTTTTTTTAGGGTGGGTATTTTTGGGGGCTGTGTTTTGATAACAGGTGGGAGCTTTGCCTGCCTCTCCCTGGCTGTRGGATCRGCAGGTTTTAGGGAAAAGCTCYGAGTTGGGGGKKWTTTTTGTAGCTCAGGTAAAAAATGTCATTTTATATCTGTAAAATACCATTTATTGTCAGTTTTTAGGAAGTTGGAGGCACACACTTCCCTCTGCCAACCCTCTCTCCCTATTCCCATGGTTTCATCCCACAGATCTCCAGGCAGGGAGACATTTCCTCCAGGAGCCAAATGGACCCTGAGGTGCATCTCCAGCACAAACCCACACGTGATTCATCAGGCTCCTTCAAACACATTTATTATTTAAATAATGACAATTCTTCACTTTGACATCGCCTCAGCTCACGAAAAGCCCCAAATCTCAGCACCTTTGGGTTCCCTGAACGGAGCTGCAGCTCCCAAAGGAGACTCCCAAAATGGAATTGCACAAATGCCACGGGCTGTGTCGGATGCTGCCCAAATGGGAGAAAATTCCTGATGGCAGCGGTGACCTTGGGATGTGGAGTTGGATGCTCCTCATCCCAGTGGAGTCTCAAAAAGCAGAGGAACACAGAAAATAAAATAGTGGTGTTGGAGGATGCTGCCCAGCAGGGCAGGAGTGATGACCCGGATGGTTTTGCATTTGTTTTTTTTTGCTTTCATTGATTTTTTTAAATTTTATTTTAAATAAATATTTGTCAGTCAAAGACAAACCCAAAGCCCAGCAGCAGCATCACCTTGGATGTGGGTGAAGCTCATGGCTGTGACCAAAACCTCTCATTCCCTGGTCAGGCTCTTTATTCCCTTTGCTGGCTCTTGCAAAAATAATGGGGCAAAGAGAGTTTCCAAATGGATGCTGAGGAAGGGCTGCTCTGCTCCATCACAGCACCAGGGAAATGCCAAAATTCGGCTTTTTTTAGTACCTTGGTGCCCCTCAGGAAAACTCCAGAGCCTAAAATCTCCGGGGTGTGGGACAGACAGACAGACAGACAAAATAACACAGACCTGCACCTGAAAAAGTGCATTTCTTTAGGCAACCAGCCTGAAAAAAACAGGGAATATTTGAGGATACACTGCTTCTTTCCTCTCCTCCCCACTCCTTTGGGATCTGGGGGCACAGGTGGGTGTTTTCAGCCCCCCAGCTCCATCCCAAAATAACCACGGAGACCTTTCTGGGCACACACCAGCAGCAATCCCTGCTTTCCAAACATCCCCCCAGCCCCATCCTAAAATAACCACGGAGACCTTACTGGGCACACACCAGCAGCAATCCCTGCTTTCCCAACATCCCCCCAGCCGTGGGGTTACAAATCCCCAAATGCTTCACACCCGACCCTCCCAGCAGGGCTGAACCTTCTCCAGGCRGCACCAGCCCCACCTGAGGGTGACACCGACCCTTCCAACCTTGTCCTGCTGCACTTTTGTCCCTGTCAGAGACCACGATGGCTTCCCAGGTGGCAGAGCCACCCTGTCCCGGGCCAGGCTACAGTGGACACATCCTTTTCCCAGTGTGGCCAGTGGATTTAGTGGCCGCAGAGGTCCAGGCGCGCGGCCAGCTTGGTGACAGCRGGGCGTGGGGTGGCAGGGGACATGTGGCAGCACAGCACGGAGCGTGCCAGGCGCAGCACTGGTGGCCGTAGGATGGCAAACACCCACGGGTCCACGATGGGGTTGATGGAGAGGAAGCGCAGSGCCAGCAGGTCCCGCTCGTGGTCGTCCTCTTGCCCGCCGAAYTCGTTCATGTAGGCACGGATCTGCRAAATTACAGAATGATTTGGGRTGGRAAASARWKWAAAA